AACAAAACTACCTAGAACAACATGAAAAAAGGCCGAACCCATTTTACAAATTTCATACAAACACTCAAAACTGCAAAATCACTTCAAACGACAATGAATCCATGTATTATGGCTGGATCATACATCTCATCAAAATGATTCTCTGGAACGACCCTGAATACTCAGTTGAACACTATTTGAACGCCGTTACAGCCAATTTAAAATTAAAGAAGGCGCAGAGCCTAGAAAATCCCCAATCATCAAATTTGTGCGCAGCGAATTTCAGAGTTTCGAATGAAAATATAAACAAAAAATAATCTCTAAATACACTTGATTTTTAAAACGAAAAATTGACGGAAGTTCTCTTGATGACTTTAACGCCAATTTGAAATAATATCAATGAAGAAAAAAGAATCACAACCATCATCCATTCGAGAACCAGATGAAGATTTTCGCAAAAACGTAGACAAATTAGGCCAAGCATAAATTACAAGGAATTTAGAAGAAACAGAAAACCTATAATTACAAAATGTCTCTAATATACAAACTTCTACTTCACAAATAAATAATTTAATCAATTCAGATTTTGAAATAGCAGAAAAATTACCCAAATTTATATCAAGAGAGCCCAAGTTTAAATAAAAAACCCTCATTTGGGATATTGTGTAATTACTGCCGAGGATAAGGACACAGTGTGCAGCCAAAAGCAGATAAAGACTGAAGGATAAACAGACAGACGAACCTTACCAATACATGTAAAAAGATCAGAACTTACCCAATAAGAGTAACCAAAGTAATAATAGCTCTGGAAAAGGACTCCCAAGTTCCTATAACAGTACACAACCACCTTAAAAACATAGCTCTCCAGGAAGATCCCCATTTAGAAAAAATTACAATTCAGAAAATCGATATAGTTGATTAAATAGTCACAATAGTGAAAATAGAAACAATTACTCAGGATGTGATTTGAAGAGAAACAATGAATCGAACTAAAATAGAAACTATCAGTATAAAGAATCATTCAAAAGAAGTCAACTATAATATTCAGAAATTGAAGAATACTTTCATCAAAATCAGCAAAAATAACATAACCTCAATCAACAAAAAACATCAATGAAACAACATTGAACAGCCAGATGATCTTTTCAACCCGATGTTTTCGAACCTTTACCCTACCAACCAAGACATCAACCAACTCGATCAAAACTCCTCATGAAACCAAAATACACGTCACGAAGTCGAAACAGACAAACTTGGTACACACTACAAAATCTAGGCTCCCAAACAGAAAAAAAAAGATATATGAAAGTCCATTACAAAACTACCTAGAGCAACATGAAATAGGTCGAAGTCATTTTACACTCAAAACTGCAAAATCATTTCAAACGACAATGAATCTATATATTATGGCTGGATCATACATCTCATCAAATTAAATCTCTGGAACGACCCTGAATACTCAGTTGAACACTATTTGAACGCCGTTACAGCCAATTTGAAATTAAAGAAGGCCCAGAGACTAAAAAATCCCCCATCATCAAACTTTTGCGCAGCGAAATTCAGAGTTTCGAAAGAAAATATAAACAAATTTGTTGTAAAAACTGAAACTCTAGTACGAAAAGCATATTCTCTAAATACACTTGATTATTAAAACGAAAAAGTGACAGAAGTTCTGTTGATGACTTAAACGCCAATTTGAAAAAATATCAATGAAGAAAAAAGAATCACACCCATCCTCCATTCGAGAACCAGATGAAGATTTTTGCAAAAACATAAACAAATTAGGCCAAGCATAAATTACAATGAAAATAGAAGAAACAGAAAACCTAAAATTACAAAATGTCTCTAATATACAATCTTCTACTTCATAAATAAATAATTTAAGCAATTCAGATTTTGAACTAGCAGAAAAATTACCCAAATTTATATCAAGAGAGCCCAAGTTTTAATAAAAAACCCTCATTTGAGAAATTGTGTAATTACTGCCGAGGATAAGGACACAGTGTGCAGCCGAAAGCAGATAAAAACTAAAGGATAAATCAGACAGACGAACCTTACCAATACATGTAAAAAGATCAGAACTTACCCAATAAGAGAAACCAAAGTAACAATAGCTCTGGAAAAAAACTCCTAAGTTCCTATAACAGAACAAAATCACCTTAAAACCATAGCTCTCCAGGAAGATCCCCATTTAGAAGAAATTACAATTCGGAAAATCGATATAGTTAATTAAATAGTCACAACAGTGAAAATAGAAACAATTACTCAGGATGTGATTCGAAGAGAAACAATTAATAGAACTAAAATAGAAATTTTTTATACTCAAAAAATCGCAGAAGACCTTATTCAAACGATCGTACTAGATTTTTTCAAGAAACTACTCAAATAACAAGAATAAATCATTCTAATAGTAACTCAAACTACAGAAATTATAGAAAATTTCGATCACGTGAATCTTCAAATAATCATAGAAGTAGAAATACTGGTTACCAAAATAGATCATACAGAAATTAATCTCAATAACCACAGTATTTCACAATATCCAATTAGACAAGCTCAAAACTACAGAAGTAGTACGCCAAACATCACTGACTGATAAATCAAGTACAATCCACTACTGAAACAAGACCAGATGCCAGGAATCGAGAACAACGGAAAATCAGGACTCCAATTAAATCGCGTACAATGTGGAAGTAATGACGATGAGAGTGATTCAAATAAAACACTAATTTTCAACATGTTAAAATCAGAAAAAAAAAATCCGAAACCCCGTTCATTCTGATTACTATCAGAACAAATAAACTGACAGTAACCCTCCGGAACAAGATACAGATCAAACGAACAATATAAAATATACACCTCAGTTTATCGAAAACCACAACCTATGAAATAAAATATAATCAATACCACATCTTAAACTTCTCTGACAAAACAAAAAGTTTGAACAATACCACTTCCTAAAACTCTTACGAACGTTTTTTGCAAATTTTTAACTGTTATCTAACTTCAATTTTGTCAAACTGTTTGAGGGTGATGAATAATTTTTTCGTGTTTTTAAACATTTTTTAAGTAATCTTTCAACCTTCTAATTGAAGTAAAGAGTAATGTGTTTCGCATAAAACAAGATCAACTTCCATCAATTGTCATCAAGTTTTCCGGAATTTAGAAAGCCTTCTGAATATGAAATGGGCCGTCTTGTTTTTCTATTTGTCAGAGAAAAAAAAATTTCCACTCGGAGATAAAAAGGATAAGAAAGTTTAGTTTGAGCAATCGTTTTTCAAAAAAAGACTATAATTGATTGATATCATTTCCATGGATTTCATTTGAGTTTCACTATAAAAATTAATTAGTTCTTCACAAACGCTATATTGTTAAAAGTATCATTTGAATTTTGTTTTGTTGGAACTTGCATTAAGTGGGGGTTCTGTTGACCCAAAGGGTCCCCCTTTGTATTGTTTTGAGACATCCATTTTTGTCTGACTGACCTTAAAGTTTCTCTTAAGACGTCCAGAAAAAGTTTTCAAAAAAACTTCCCTGAAGTTTTTCTATTGGTTTTTCTAAACATACTTATTTTTGAGGCGGAGCGTTTTTTAGTTTTTTTGTCATGCTCAAAAATTTGCCTAAAAACTTTTTTTTTGGTTTTTTCACGCCGGTTTTGAGTAATTTGTCAAAATAGGGTCCCCGCATCCAGTTTCAAGCGTAAATAACCGATTATTTTGTGAGTTTACTACTATTCTTACTAAAATTGAGAAACAATTGATTTTAATCAATTAATAATCGATTATAATCTCTTTTTTAAACTCAAATTATAATTAATAATAATCCATTATAATCGATTATAATCCATTATTTTTATTCAAATTTTTATTTCGTTAGTTTTGCTCAAAAATCCATTATGATCGATTATAATTGATTATAATCCTTTTTTTTGTCCTTTTTTGTCTTCGAAGTTGCATCTAAATTGCTTATATTTTTTGCTTTTTGTGGACGTTGGTTTTTAAAAGTATATTCAATTTAAAATATTTCTATGAAAAATGAGAAAATATTTTTAAAGTTTTCCAATTATTTCAAATTTATAAGTTTTTCTTTCATTTCTTCCCCATTAGAGTTGTTTTGTGATGCGTATTTTAAGCTTTTTTAAACACCGAAATATCAGCAAATTGATTTAGTTTCATGATTGATTCGGAAATTTTTTTTTCATCTACAGCGAGAACCTTTTACTCATATGAAAGGATTTCTATGAAACTTTTGTTTTGTGGTAAAACTTTGGGTTCCGACGAACCAAAGTTTTCAAAAGATCTCTTTTTTAGAGATTTTCCTATTGACACTAAAATAGTAACCCGTAAGATATAAATCGAATATAAGAAAATTTTGGCAAAATAAGATATTCTAATCGATTATAATTGATTATAATTGATTTGAAGGGTTTTTATTAAGAACTATAATCATTTATGATCGATTGTAAGAGATTATAATCTCTGAGAAATTATCACGATTATAATCAATTATAAATCCCTTAAAGATTTAACTTTGGTAATTAAAATCGATTATAATTGTCAAAAAATCATCATTGTAATCCGTTATAATTAATTACTTACGCCTAAACTTGGAAGCGGGTCTTTACAGTGATTTGGAGAACACCAAAAATCAATTTGGTTGACCTAAAAAAAACTTTCGACAAAATTTTTGAAATTTTTAAGCCATTGCCGGCCTTGAAAATGATTGAAAATTTTTCTTCTATCGTTTGCTGCAGTGTTTTACAGAGTTTTGGCTATTTTCTAAACATTAGTTTGCGAAACTTGATAAGTTATTTCAACGCACCGAACTTTTATAGAGCCAAGTGTATAACTTGCCAGATGCGCATGATTACCAAAATTTATTTGGACATAATTATTTATTTAATTTAACAGTAAACGGCATAGTACTTTGACAAATGTCAAGCCATTGTTTAGTATGGATTTTAATTCTGAGATCAATTTGATAGCATTCAAAATTAATTTGTTTAAGCAGCTAAGCTTAGAAATTGCTTGCTCAATTTGAGAATTTGATCCCGGTAAAACCGCACTGTCAGCAAGTATTAAAATCTAGCACTATTCAGTTCATCATTTCACTTGGTTACCCTTTTTGAAACGTTCATATCGCTTTTTTTAGTTGAAAGTGACGTTGAAAGTGGGAACTGGAATGAAAACAGTTTAAATCACAAAACGTAGTTTACCTTCAAAAGCTGGATTAAATTTGAAGTCATGGATCAATTTCACTACGGTGGTTCTATGGACGAGACTCTCCAGTTTACCAACAGGTGTAATCCGAATGACTTCATGACTCTGTCCACTCCCACAGTTGTCTCTCTAGGTGACCCAGTATGATAGATGCTTCCCTTATAGTCCCCAACTCTGGATGGGTATACCAACACACACTAGGAACTTATTGGGACTAAATTTATTACCTGAGTCTTCAAAAGATGGTTCCATGTTAATGCATATATAGACCATATATCATTTTAAGTATAGTTTGATCAGGGTGGCAGTTCCAAACTCCTTAACTTCACGAAAAAAAGCCTCACTCGACTTGTTAAAAAATTCTGATAGTCGCGGGCGACTAACCCGCTTACCGCTGTTTGGCGTTTTTTGGATTTTTGCCCCACATGAAAGAACTGGGAAGAAAAGGTTTAGAAAGTTTAAAAAACTAGACCCCATTTTCTATCATACCATGAACTGCTTCTGTTTTCTGTAGACCAAGTGCGTCCATTTGTCTCCTACTTCACACTCTTCATCGTCGTCACCATCTCCCCCTGTCTAATCATCAGTCCATTTTACATCCCCAAACTTAGCACACTCTGCAGAAAGGTGAGTTGAGGCCACTGAACAAGTAATTATTCTAATAAAAAGAAAAGTAAAGAGAAATTATAGAGCAAATAATTCGAAAGAACACTGCGCGTATTTTAGAGTTTAAGGACAGAACTTTCAGATGACCTTGAGATAATACATTATGTCTGCCAAAGCTATCCCTTGCGAGCCATCTTTCTCAGAAATTTGTTTTTTTTTGTCATTGTTTCAGACCGCTCGAACTTTCGAAGTTAATTTAGTCTGTTTCTTAGATTAAAACATGGACTTAATTATCAGGAATTCGAATTGACAGAAAAAGTTGAAAATCGGTGGCACTTGCTAAACAAAACGTGATCGTCAAATTTCTCTGAATCAGAGCAACTTTCTTTATCATGAAGGCATTGCTCATTACCAAATTCGCTATGAAACTTATCAATACAGAATAATGATGTTCTTCAGATGAATAGTTCATATCGGTCAAGTTGTTGTTAACATTCGATTCGAAAGTTAAACATTTCTAAAGCTTTTCTTGTTAGTTTTTTAAGTGAACTTTTTATATCGTCAATTGTCAAGAGGAAATTATTTTTATTCAATTATAGTCTGCTGCAAAGTGTAACTTGAAAGCGTTTTCCTTGATACTGAAAAAAATGATTACCGTTCTTTACCAATTTGCCACTTAGTAGTTATTATTCAGTTTTAGGTGGAAAATCGATAACTAGATTTGCAGAATTTTCTAGCTTGAATTGGCTAAAACAAAAAAGAAACAAACATTTATTTTCTAATGTCTGAAAAAGCGGACAGTTTTTTTTATATACTGATATCTGATGAGTTCAGGAATGTCACATACTTGATCGTGTATGCATATCGGTTTGAGTTGGTCAATTTGTATCGACAGTATTGGAACCAGTTCTAAACCAGTTTTTATAACCAATAATAAAATTGATAAATATATCCCTATAAAACATTACTAACTAACCAATCATATTCTATTGAGTTATGACCGATGGGTACAACTCATAGAGTAATTTCGGATAGGGTACACCGTCTGCTCGTCACGCTATCTTATTTTCGGCCGGATAGATTCGTGCAACTTCTTAGTCTAATACCGATCCTAATCTTACTCTTATACTATCTAGTCTCAGGTTGTTTAACTAGTCTCTGCTAGGCTCAATAGATCTAGGGTATACTGGTTTATTGCGGCTGCTGAAGTACTCGGGAGAGTCCAACTAATTTCTAAGTTAAATTCAAATCTCTCTGGTGCTGAAATTACAAGTAATTTCAGCACTTACAAATAAGTGGATTGTTAGTTAGATGGATCATGATTGGTTAATATTAAATACTTTACATTGGTAAAATATCTAATTTATCCAATCATAAAATGTAGTTTAGATCAGGTTCCACCCATCCGGGTTTTACAGAGTTTTTTAGAATAGTTCTTCTGCAATTCGAAGGATGGATGATGGACGTTGGTATTTGGCGAACATCATATTTCTTTTCCGTTTTCTCTTGTTAGAGAAGTTCCAGGAAGCTGGAATTAGGGACATCAAACGTTGTGTCTTCTTGTGACAACGACTGTGTCTCCGCAATAAACTCAAATCTGTTTTCAGAATGGTTGGCTATGTCAGGTTTTTCTGTTTCTCGTGGAGAACTTCTTTTGTGTCTGATCTTGTCTGGGAATGGCGTGGAGATTGTGCGTGGAGGGGATGCCTGGTTACTCGGATCTGTACGTATACTTGAACATCGAGGTGGTCATTGGTCTAGTTCAATGAAGTCCTTTTCTGCGAAGTCAAGTCGTACTCTAAATCCTTTGAGTTGTGATTGTGAGCGGCATGTCGATTGTAGTTGGCCATTCTTTCTCGAGTGTAGTGGGGTCGTTTTGTCTTTGGATGTTCGTCCTTGGTGTTGTATTCTGATCTATGTATTGCATAATGTAATTTACATTTTATAAAACTTTTATTAGTTTAATATTTTTTAATTATGATTTTATTTAGTTGTTTTCACAAAAGCTTTTTGTTTTAGTTCAGTTATTTTGAAGAGTTACTCACCCTTGAGTAGCTCTTATTAAAAATAGGAGTGTGTGTCACAAAGTGTGGATGTAGCGCGGTGGGTTAGGCCGGCTATAGAGCATGCTCAGGACGTCCTTACTGGTGGGTTAGGCCAGGAGTGGGAGTATGATTGCATGCGGTTTTTGTGAGAGGTCCTGTTATGTGACAACGTTTTATGTTGGGTTTGTTGTGGTTTTTCTTATGTCTTGTTGGTTGTGTCCTTTTTTCAAAAATCAAATTGTTTGTGGTATGGGTTTGTCTTTCGACTTTTTTGTGTTTTATTATTTCTTTCTTAGACTTTATAATAGTCTTCAAAAGAATAAATTATCCAGTTTTAAACTGGGTTAATCCGGTTTGGGTACCGTTGGTTTCCTTTTCTTAACCATGTTGTTATTCTATGATTTGTGGTGTTTAGTAAGCTGCGTTGGTTAGTGTTGTTTAGTGTATAATTCCTTTCCAACCGGGTTAAAGGAAAATTTGAAACGTGTTATCTTGTGTTAGAGTTGTTGAGTGTGACAGCTTGAAACTGAAATTCATTATTTTAAACAATTCTTCGTGGGCGAGCTGTGCGAGTGTGGATAGAATTTCTGTGCGAATGAATGGAAATATCAAAAGGTTAGTACTGCATTTTCGTTTTATCAATTTACTACATTTTACACAGAATTTTTAATTTTACTGCTATTTATTGGGGAAAATTAAGTTACAAATTTTCATCGTAATTAGATTTACTGCTTGTGGGGGAAAATTTTATAAATTAATTTACTGCATTGGTATTAAATTTATTTATTTTGTTGGTGCAAAAGATTAATAGAATTTTAAATTGTTTGAAGAAGTTTTCGATTTTTTATTTTTCTTTTGTGAATTTTTCAGATGATTGTCGGATGAAGGCTAAAATTCTAAAGAAAACATGGATAAAGAATGGTGAGTTTCTAATACTTTAATTAGTTAGTAATATGTATAATTCATACTTACCTGTTAGTCGTCGGGGAAGAAACCGTGGGGGAAGGTGTCGTGAATGAGATCTGAAGTTGTTAGTAATTTAGCTAAGATGCGGATGATATTTTTAGTTTGAAGCAGTGGCCAAAGCAATTGAAGTGCTTTAATGGTGGTTAGTTCTTCAGTGCCAACTGCAAATTCATAAGGTGTGTTTTGGATTAGATTATATAATTTGTGATTGAATTTAGTGTTATGGATGAATTCTAAAATGGGGATTTCTATAGGTTGAACAAACTCGTGTGGAATAAGGAAGGGTCGGGATTCTTCGGCGTTGAAGGTCTTGGTGATGGGGCAAAAGATATACATTTGGGTTATGGGGTCATAATTTCGAAGAATACCATGAAGGTTAGTATCTTTAATGCAATATGTAAAGTTAAGAAAGAATGGTGAAGTGTATTTGGAATTGATGAATTGAAAACGATGGTGTGGTTGTCTGGAGGGAGTGTGTAGGTCAAAGTGATTTTGGATGAAACGATAATAGGTATATGTGTGAGTTTGTTTAGTGCGCAACATAATATCGTGTGAGCAGTGCAAATCTCTTTCATGTGGTGCAAGGAAATGAAAGGTTAGTGAAAATATTTGGAAGCGTTATTTAAAACTTTCGTAGGCTTGCGTGTCTGTTAGTGCTTCTGAAATAATATGGTCAAACTTGCGATCGAAGATGTTTAGTGTAAATACATATGGTGTTTTAATGAAAAATTTCTCGGTGATTTGTGGGTTAGCGAAGCGATCGTCGTCTAAGAATTGATCTTGGTTAGTTCTGATGATGTTATGATCGTAATATTCTAGTGTATATTCATTAGCTCGGGGTGCAGTGTGTGTTTTTAGTGATTTTTTATATCAAATATAAGTAAATTGTCTAGGTGTTAGTGGTGTAGTGAGTCGATATAGCCTGTCTTTATTTCGTTCTATATCGATGTGAGTGTTAGATAAAGGTAAGCAAAGGGGATTAGTAAAATGATAATGTGAGGTCCAAGGAAGAGGTATTAAAACGTATTCGTCTACAAAGCTGCGTGTTTCGTTAGTGTCGTGAGGGGTGTTTAAGGTGTATTGTGGAAATGAGGGTAAGGTGATAGCTAAAAATTCTTTTGTGTTAGTGTGATTTGGATGATTTATATATTCACGGGCTGTTCCTGGTTTTGCTGGGAAAGGATGGTTGGGGAACTTTCTTTTAAAAGTGCGGTAAGCTCTATTAGTGTTGAGTGAAGATTCAGTAGATGTGGATGATGGTGCTAATGATTCAGTATAAATTGAAGAGGGTGTAGGGGTAGGGGGGTTGGATGAATCTATTGTGGATGAAATTTGGTTTATGGTTGGGGTGTCAAGGTGGTAGGGTTGTTGTTGGAGGGTAATAAAATTATCTAGTTCTGGGGAGATTCGGGGGGTGTCTGGAGAATGAGATGATTGGTCTGAATGAAGTGAGGAGTAGGTTGGAGTGACTTGGGAAGCATAAGAGGGTGTAGAATTGATTGGGTCAGGGTTATTTGGTAGTATGGGTTGAAAAGGGGGTTGGGAAAAATTTGAAGAATTGGTGTGAAAATTATTGGATGGAGATGGTTCAGAGTCGGCAAATTCATCGGGGGTTTCAATATTCGGGTTATTGAGTTGTGAGATGGAGTATAAAACTGAGATGTGTGAATTAGTATCGGAATTCATGCCTGATGTTACATTACTGGATGGGAAATCGGGTGGCGGAAAAGCAAAAAGTGGTATTATTGGGATTGGAGTGGTGAGGTTGGTTGGGTGGGAATTTGATCGGTGTAGGGATTCAAGTTGTCGGCTCATCGTGGGCTAAAAAAATTATTATTTTGAGACTGAAAAGCGGTGGTATGGGGTTGTTCAATAATTTGTTCATAAGTATTATCATCTTGTGATTGGTGTGTCATTATATGTTGGATGGGACTTTGTGATATGGTTGGTCGAAAATTTGGATTATGTGTTATTGCTAAATTTCGAAAATTTCGTGGGACTAGGGATAGT